GTGTCTGTGATTTTCCACAATTCCTGGACAAAAACCTGATAGAGGCTTGCAGAGATTTGTCCACGTGTATTCAGATGTTCTGGTGTTGGAACTGGTGATTTTGACCCTCCTTGCCTGGTGTAGAGCCTTACAGATGTTTTTTAGATACTGGTGTCCAGAATTTCCAGCCTAAGAATACTGAGAGTTTCATAACACAGCGGAACGGCTGGGTGTATATCAAACCAAATTTAAAAAAGGAATGTGGTTATTATCCATGCTGGCTTGACTTCATCTCTCTATCCTGCCTGACACCGGGAGAAATAATATTGCCTCTTTTTAGAGTCGTTTTTCTAAGTCCTATTTATGGAGCTGTGTCCCACCTAAATTGAGAGAAGAGCCCCAGCCAGCCTTCCCATGCTCACCTTCCAAATGCCCTCAGCTCCCATAATCCTCAGCTAGGCAGGTGGCAAAGACAGAAGTTTGGAGAAGGCTCTGATGTTCCCCAGGAAAAGGAGCTAGAGAATTGTGGATTCAGCGGTTACAACCAGATAAAAATAGCGATGGATGTTTGTCCTGGAACAAAGTAATTCTGGTCCAGTGAGGTTTTGGTCATGAGAACCTCACTCAGACTTTGGAAAAGTTTTGCAACTCTACCCGGAGTCTGAAATGTCAGGAAGTGGCTGAATTTGCAGGGCGTCCCTTGTTTTGCTCCGCGCTGGCTTGTCCTAAGGAACCAACCCTGATGGCTTCCGAATCAGGACCATCGCTTTAGGATTATATTTAAGGCCAATTGTGGCCTGAACAAATCATACGTTGTGCATTTTTTAAAAGTTTATTTATATCTTTGCCTTCATTATGGTTGCATATAACTCAAGGCGGCGAGCAGATCGAGTACTCCTCCCTCCTCCTTTTTCTCCCACATTAACCCTGTGAGGTGGGCAGGGCTATGAGAGAGTGTTTGGAACGTGGCTCAAGATCCCAAAACAAACAAACAAACTCGCTTGGAATTCCAGCAACAAAGTTTTATATCTATCTTCTATATAAATAAAAATGTAAATGTTCATTTGTTCCAAATCTTAAATCTCCGAAAGTTCTTCACCGATTGCTTTGAAATTTTGACACAACGTTGCATTCGAATACGCGCATGTTTTTATATACCTACTATTATATAGATCAGCGGTTCTCAACCTATGGGTCGCGACCACATTTGGGGTCGATCGACCATTTCACGGGGGTCGCCAAGCAAGGCAGTCCGCTATTTTTTCCCCTTTTCTGGCGGGTGCCTTACCTCCCTTGGGCTGGGCCAGCTGGTGGTCGGCCTGCTCTGTCTCTGCCGCTTGCCAGCTACGCCTCGGCTGGCGCAGGGGGCGGAACCACGCATGCGCGGCGCTCCCGGGCAGGGAAAGTCCTCGACTTACGACCGGTTGGGTAGTCCTCGACTTACGACTGGTTTAGTCCTCGACCTACGACCGGTTTAGTCCTTGACTTACGACCGGTTTAGTCCTCGACTTACGACCGGTTGGGGGTCATGGCATTAAAAAGGTTGAGAACCACTGATATAGATGTTACACCTGTTACAGGTAAAAATATGCTTTTTTGAAAAACAGCGCCATCTTTTGGACGTAAAAGCATACCCACAAGCATTGTGAAATTAAACATATTACAAACGTGCACTTTCTCTTTTCTTTCTTTTCCATTTAACCAGACTGAGCCACAGCAACGCGTGGCCGGGTACAGCTAGTTCAAAATAAAGTGTTTGCAAAGGCTTGGTGGACTGAAACACACACAGAAGTTCAGCCACACCTTAAAGAGCTGTTTGACACATTTTTCTATCCTACCTCCGACGCAGATTCCCCCCTCCCCTATTGCACTCAACGCCCCTTCCCTAATCATCCGATAAACTATCCGGACTGCCGGACCGCCTAAACCTACTGTCCCTTCCATGTTCCAGAAAGCCCCTTTGCCCATATCCTATCTTTCACCATCTAATTTTCTGTTAGCCCAGTTCGTCTCCTATAGTTATTTCCATATTTCCTCTGCTTGCAATTTCAGTTAGCTAGTGACTTCTGTTTTTCACATTTGTACTTGTCAATATTTAGATAAGATATATATTATTATTTCTGATCTTCAGTTGGCTTCTGCTTCAACCTTTAGACTCATTAGAAATTTCTGAATAATACTTTATTTCTTTCAAGAGTGACTGGCCCAAAGGTCACTCCATTGGCTTTCATGGCTAAGGCAAGACTAGAACTCAACCATCTCCTGCGGATGGGCTCAAAGTCACGCAGCTGACTTGAGTCTGGGGGTGCGACGCTCAAGAGTAATCAGACTATATGGCAGTGACGGCAAACCTTTTAGAGGCCAAGTGCCCAAACTGCAACCCAAAACCCACTTATGCATCATTGGGTGCCGGGTGGGTGTGGCTATTGGATGGGTGTGGCCCATTGGGTGGGTGTGGCCCATTGGGTGGGCGTGGCTGCGGTGGTAATGGCAGACTGGGTGGGACTAAAAAGTTCAATCAATCAATTCCAACTTTGCAAGATCTTTTTTTTCCACCGCAAGAAGTTGAAATTGACTGATTGATTGAACCTTTTTTTTTTTTTTGCACACAGCGGCGGAGGCCTAAAGCGAAAAGGTTTTATAAAACCCAGCTGAAGGCCTAGGACTGTGGTGACGGCACACGTGCCCACAGAGAGGGCTCTGAGTGCCACCTCTGGTACCCGTGCCATAGGTTTGCCACCACTGCTATATGGGGATGGTAAAAAGCTTGCGGGAGGGGTGTCAAAATTATTTTTGATCTGCTTCACAAAATAATTGATGTCATTAGCCCGGGGACAGGGCTGCACAAATGGATTTATCGTTTTAGGAGGTTGCAGCACCACAATTTGGGATACCCTAGACTACAAGTCTGCTACACACACCCTTTTCTGGTTCTCGAAAGTCTGAAATTCCTCCTCCATTAAATTTCCTGGCCTGCTGCCACCAGCTGCGGTGGCTGGTGAATACAGACCTGCTTGCGGGATTTTGTGGCTGTCAAAAATCAATAAATGCACAACGAGCCTTCATCTTCACTGATGCTGAATCAGAGCTGTCGTTCTGATCGACTGGCCCCCACCTACTTATTTGTCCTGATTCCACTTCCTCGTTTCAACCCATGTCAATGTTTTATCCAGATTTTTTAAAAAATCAGAATGTTTGCAAATATTTTAACACGCTGTTGCTTAATAGCATATGTTTCCCTTACTTTATTTAGATTTTTATCTTCCTAGTGTTCTGCAGTGTTTACTGAAAAGCAGTAGAGGCTTCTGTCTGTGAGCGAGGCTGAGAGTGATTAATGCCAAAGGAAAAAACAGAAAAGCTTTTAATGGGATAATTTTGCAGACTTGAAGTGCTGTGTTTGTACATACTGTACACACACACACACATATCAATCATAGGGACAGTTTCAATTAAGAAGCAATATATTTCCACTTTTGCATATGAGAAGTTTTTGAAACTACTGTATTCTCCTGTTTGACATATCTTGTAAAAGTTCATTAACGTTTAGGAACAACAGAATAGCTCACCATCTCCTAGATTGAAAGGGACCTTGGAGGTATTCTAGTCCAACCCCCTGCAGAAGCAGGAAACCTTTTCCCACTTAATGATTTTCCAATCTCTTCTTATGAGAAATAAGATGCAGAAAAAAATATATGAGCGCAGAGATTCTCAAAACATTTCTGGATTCCTGGGGAGAGGGATGATCTGATGGTCAATTTATTTAAAAATTTACATGACTGGTCTACAGAGACCCTGAATGGCATATAAGTCTTCTCCAGCACCAGAGTTCAAAGGCCTCAGTTCTTTGGCGCTCAGCCTTTCTTAGGGTCCAACTCTCACAGCCCTACATTGCAACTGGGAAAACCATGGCCTTGACTATACACACTTTTGTTGGCAAGGTGATGTCTCTGCTTTTGAGTATGCTGTCTAGATTTGCCATAGCTTTCCTCCCCAGGAGCAAGCATCTTTTGATTTCTTGGCTGCAGTCCCCATCTGAGGTGATCTTGGAGACCAGGAAGATAAAATCTGTCACTACCTCCATTTCTTCCCCATCTATTTGCCAGGAATTGAGAGGGCCGGATGCCATGATTTTGGTTTTCTTAATGTTGAGTTTCAAGCCAACTTTTGCACTCTCCATCTTCACCCGCATCAAGAGGCTCTTTAGTTCCTCTTCACTTTCTGCCATTAGAGTGGCATTATTAGTTCACACTAAAAAAGCGGTGATGGGCGGATGGCATTGATAGACAGCTAGACCCCCAAGTTTAAGCCTGGTCTGAAAACCCGCCGGGGGTGTTGCTCCCGGATTTCCCAGACAAGCCAAAGGCAGATTTTGGTCCAAGCAAAGCAAGAGTGAGTTCCAACATTGCTTCCCCTTTTTCCCCTGCCTGAACCCGTCAGCTTTTTTCCAAAAACGCAATGCTCCTCTTCGTCCCAGTTGCTTGTAAGCATGGTGTAAGGACCCACCCCACTTTACATCTTAAGAAGACAGAACTCTTGGAATATCTCTTCCAACAGGCATCTTTATTAAGAGAAGATGGTTGCAGGCGTTCTAGACAGGATCTGAAGGGCCAACCCCTACCATTCAAGGTTTTAAGTGTTCCCAAGCAGCCCCCACCCCACCGTCCTTCCAGTGACAATCCCAGGCGTTACATTTCCACCCCCTTTTCCTCACGGCCGGCAGAAGGGAGACTTCAGAGAGTAGTAGATGAAAGCTCATGGCCATATTGTTATGGTCAGTCCTCTTGGTGAGATCCACATTCAGTCCCTTTGAAGTTTTAATGAAGGAAGTGAGAGTCATAAAACCCCTTTGCTCATCCCCCTTCCCCTTCGTAGTATGACCGAATCCAGAGAGGGCAGAAATGGGGTTTTCCATAGTCGATAACTAGAAATGAAATATAATTGGACAGCTTCTCTGACACAAGCTGAGAATGTCCAGAAAGTGGTGTTTTGACAGAGATTGTCTGTCTGTTTCTGCTAGGAGGATGGAGGCTTCATGTTTGGAATTGGCCCTGGAAGGAGAGCGGGCGTGCAAGGCGGGGGATTTCCCTTCCGGAGCGGCCTTCTTCGAACACGCAGTCGAGGTGGGGACGGAGGATCTGAAGACCCTCAGCGCCATTTACAGCCAACTGGGCAACGCCTACTTCTACCTGAAGGACTACGCCAAAGCTTTGGAGTACCATAAGCACGATCTCACGCTGGCCAGGTAAGTGCTCCGCAGCCAGAATTGGGCTCTCTGGAGAAAGGAAGGAGAAAACGAATCTCGGGCTGCAACGCTTGAGTGATGCCAGGTTGGCAAAAAGTCCACCCCAGGTAGAGAAAACCAGAACATTCAATGTCCTGATTTTCCCTTTGTGGGTGGTGGGGTTGGACTGGAAAGGAAAGGGACATGATCTCTGGGAGAGAGGAAAGGGTGTGAGGAGGCTGGGAAAATGAAGGAAGAAAAATAGAAACAGTCAAGAAGATGAATCTGTTGATAGTTTAGCTCAGTGATGGCGAACCTTTTAGAGACCGAGTGCCCAAACTGCAACCTAAAAACCCACTTGTGCATTGTCATGTGCCGGGTGGGTGTGGCCCATTGGCTGGGTGTGGCCCATTGGGTGGGCGTGGCTGCAGTGGTAACGGCAGACTGGGTGGGACTAAAAAGTTCAATCAAGGCCTTGTAAAGTGGAATTGATACTTCACGTCATCTTGATTCTATCCCTCTGTTAATGTTAATGCAGCCTAGCACTGTGTTGGCCTTTTTGGCAGCTGCAGCACACTGCTGGCTCCTATTTAAGTGATTGCCCACTAGGACTCCGAGGTCCCTCTCACAGTTGCTACTATTGAGCAAGGTACCCACTATACTATCACTACTAATATCAATATTACTAATATCATCATAAAATCCCTTCGATACCATGCCTGCTCGCAGCCCCTGAGCAGGCTGAAGGAGGACATGCAACGCCCCCCGCCCCCCTCAGCCAGGCCTTACTTCCTCCTGACTTTCTTCCAAGAGAAACTCCCACTATCTTTTCCCAATGCCCGCAGAACCATCGGGGATCGGATCGGAGAGGGCAAAGCCAGCGGCAATCTTGGCAACACCCTGAAAATCCTGGGTCAGTTCGACGAAGCCTTGGTTTGTTGCCAGAGGCATCTGGACATTTCGCAGGAGCAAGGAGACAAGGTAGGAAGGGGGACCCTCGGCGGCCATCCGGCCTCTGGCCAGGAAAACAGCAGCATTGGGTGGGGAAGAGCGGATGGAGGAGACCCCTGAGCCTTACCCAAGTTGCAGGTGGCAACTTTGAACTCTCTTGAACACTGGCAAGTCTGGGGGTGGGAGGGCTTGAGCAATTGCACACTCAAAAGTGCTGCAAAGCGGATCATTTCCACATTGCTACAGTTGTTAACCCGGTATCTTTATTAGACTTTTTTTTTTTAGTGGGAAAACTGAACAGCTGAGGGGGGAAATTCCAGGGCAGAAAAACTCCTCCTCCTCCTCCTCCTCCTCCTCCTCCTCCT